GAGACATTCAGAGACAGCAAGAACAGGGTGGATGGAGCCTGCCCTGCAGTGATGGAGTTCCTTTGCTTCGTGCTCTGGACCCCCAGGCCACCTTCTTTTGGGCAATTGGTACTTTCATTGGTAGTACAGAACCTTGGTTTTCAGGAACTTTCTAGGTCTTTCAAAAGCAGCAATTTACCTTACGTTTTTAGAAGTCACATTCTGACAATACAGTATTACAGCAATTACTAGCTGGAGAAGCAATTACTAGCTGGAGAAGCAACTACTAAGCTCAAAGCAGCAAAAGCTTCTGCAGAATTTAGTCCATTTCTTATTTATTCATTTTCACAATATTCATACACATTTTAAGTATTGATCCTTTTCTACTTAAACTTCTAAGTTATAACGGTGCCCTATGGCCACAAGCTATTAGGGTATGCAAGCCTCAGGATTTAGAGCAACAGTTGGTTGCCTGTGGGGGCTAAGAGGAATTTAGCCCAGTGAAAAACACTATTAAATGGTATTGTGTTTGCATACAGTACAAATTCTCTTAAGTATTTGGTACCTGAGCCAATTACCAAGCTAGACAGGTCCTTGTTCTGGCCAGGCAGGTCTTACATTTTACTCTGTACCTGTTGGTAGCATAACAGTTATCCAGAGCATTGGTCTTTACAGTGAGTGACCCATATCTCACATGAACTCAAGCCACTAGTTCAGCTACATAAAAAAAAAAGGATATATTGGAAATACAGCATCTATTTAATTCTACTTCCTCTGGCAAAACTTAAGAGTGGTTTTAAGCATTTCTCTTTTGAAGCCTGAAATTGTTAGAGGGAAGAAAAACAAAATGGCAGAAGGGTAGAATGAGTGAATTCTGGACAATCACCTATTTAGGGAAACACAAGGAAGTACTAGCTCATGTACTTTATTCATTTTGGCCTGTTCTGAAGAAACAGATACCTAAAGTTATCTGCAAGTTCTCCTTTTGAAGAAGGCACTTAACTGGAAGCTAGCCCTGTGTTTCTGTCTGGCCTGTAACAGCACATTAAATAAAAAGCTTATCTAGTCAAACACCTCTAGCTCATAGCTACATCATCATTATTGGAAACTCGTGAAAATGCCAAATCCTCCTTTTATCTAATGTAACCTTTAAAGAATAACCAAGAAAGAGGCTTCCATTTTACAGAGCTTCTGTGGGTAACTGTGGTGAATAATCTTCTCTATGTGGACTATTTTATTTGAAATTATTCTAGAGCACCCCTTGTCACCTGTGAAGAAAGGCTCTTTGGTGCTGGTACACATTCTCATCCTCAAACGAAATCAATGTAAATGGATAGAGAAGATACCTGTGGTGGTCTGTAGCAAGCTAATACATTGGTAGGGGTGAGGATTTTGATTGCCTTACAGCTTTTTCAGGCAACTGTTAACATACCTCCCTCTACTGCCTTGCCCTAAGTTCTGTGTTTGGTAGTAAGGAAAACAACAAAAGCAAGGAGTTCACAGAACTGGAAGCGGCAGCAGCATTGTGTCAGGTTACAATTACAATAAACACTGGTTTAAATTCTTACAGATTTGCCACTATTTCCCTTTGAGCATGTAAGTGAATGAGTATTGTGTTGGATACTCATAGCTCTTACTGAAAGACTCTGCAAGACTTTTGTACAATGCATGTATCTACCTGGGATTCTCAGAAAAAGACATCAAAGCAGTCAGAGGGCAAACAGCTCTCCAAGGGTGAACAGAATGGTATTACACCTTCAATAAACCCAGCTGAGAGGTCATGAAAGACAAAGAAACTCCAAGTCGAGTACAGTATTTAAAATCTCCATGAACATCTATTTTATAGGCAAAATGATGGGAGGGGCTGACAGTCTCCAAGAAAGGGGAATTAGACAATTAAACAATTAATTACTGAACAATAATTGATCACTTTTATACAAAGTTTATTAAGATGTCCAGAAGAATAAATTTGAAAAACCATGTAGCAAATAGTAATTTTAATTCAACATTACAAGGCAACTTCAAACACCTACAGCATTTATATAGTTGACAAATAAAAATACAGTGATAATTACCATCCCTGAGCAACACTGCATTTCAAATATCATAACAGTTACTCAAATGTATGTGGGTATGCAGACATAAAACTGTTAATGCTTTCTCATAGATGAAGTCCTGAAGCTAAGCAACTTACACTTTCAAGATGTAAAGCACAACTGGTTTTGGCAAACTTAAATATTACATTTAAAAAACCCAAGCTATTAACTTACTCTACAAACTACTGAAAGTTGTGCTGAATGTATTCTGTTTTGGTTTGACCAATCCTTTGTACTGTATACTGACAGCAACTCTTCTCCTTAATGGAGTTTTTCCTTACTAAACATTTCAGGCATTTTGTATTCAGCAATGGTGTGCATTTCAAAGTCAGAATGAAGAACAGTCTCCTCTGACATTCCAGACTTCAAGCAACAATCACAAGGAGTATATTTCAACAAGTCTCAATATCCAGCTCCTACATTCTCCTGTTTATCAAAAGATGAGGGTATGAAAGTGTTTGACACAAGGATCTACAGAAACTGCTCTAGCAACTAGATGGTGCCCAGGTCTCCAGGTAGTTAAGTATCTCAGTTACATGAACAGACACAAAATAAAAACGAAGTATTATTTTATTTTCCCAACTGAGTATGACTAGTAGCTTCTAAGTTAATATCACCCTCTTCGTTGCTGAGGAAGGAAAATGGCAACTTCATTAACAGGCACTGCTAAGAATGGAAAGTTAATTTACAGAAGAAAAAATATCCTGAATACTGAAAAATAGTGCAGACATCAAAATAATTTAACTGGTACTCTGAATTTCTTGTGTGGGGTTAATACTGTTCATCATATTGCTGGTTACTCACAGTTTGATCATCCACCTGTACAAACTGTATCAGCACAAGTAGAATGTATTTCAGTCATTGATAGCACAATTAGCTTTCTAGGCCCTTACCCTACCCATACTATTTTTCCAAACACTAGCTGATCTGAATTTAAGAGATTAGGTACTAAAATACTTCCTACTTGGTAACACATGTAGCATTAGAAATTTAGTAGATCAAGAAATGTCTCCTATGAGTGAGTTTACAAGTACAAACACTGGTTCCAGATAATAGTATTTTAGCTGTCAATTCAAATGGAAAGAATATAGTACTAAAACCTCACAACACTTGAATGAAGTAACAATTACTTCCAAATCGAGCATGTTTTGAGCAGGGAGTTGGACTAGGTGACCTCTGAATTCCTCAGAAATAATGTTTCAAAGGTCCCTTCCAACACCAACTATTCTATGGTTCTATGACTTATTACCCATGTCCTTAATATCAAACGTAAACAGAAGCTTTACAAAGCAGCAATGAAATGCTTCATGTGACTAAGAGATGTAAAACAGATCTATCTTTCAGTTATTCCTCATCAGCTGCTTTTTCCCAGCCACCAGGAACCCATGGTTATGTTCACTGATTTATAAATCAGGTAGGCTAAGAGTTATGGAATCAGTTAGAGCAAACAAGAAGTATTAGAAATGATAGAAGTACTGGAATGTAACACAAGTGACATCCACTTTGCAGGATAACACTTACTTGAGTCCTTCACATGAAGCTGAAAGAAAAAACAAACCAAATTTAACAAAAATATCGGGAGTTTATGTACACTGCACAAGCCCTGTCTTGTACTAAGTAAGTTAATGATTTTGCAACACCCAACAATAACTTGGCCCTAATTATTAGGCCAATAATTATTTGGACTAATACAGAAATTTCCCACATTGTTTCAGTGCTCAGAGAGAATACAGCTAATGACAGAACAAAACACACATGATTTGAGTACATCTGCATCAGCAAGTATGACTGATGCTTCCACAGTAAAGAGGGTCTGAATTAAGAATTGAATTTTTCAGAAATCTAAAGCCGCTGTCAGAGTATGACCAAAGTTAACTACTCTTACTCCAAAATTAGGTTTCTTGATATCTAGAAAACAGGCAGGAAAATGCAACACTAGTTTCAGTTTGTTTATGCAAAAAAAACCAAACCCCAAACAGTCTGTTTCACTGTCACAGCCATTAAACACTTTTTGCCTACAACTTTGCACTAGAAGAGGCTACACTCCAAATCCAGCACTGTCTGACTCTTCTTGCTGCACTCATAAAAATGCTGAGGGACTTCCTCACTGGAAAGTACTTGTGATGGCAAGCAAAGCCAGGCAGGATTCCCACATTCCCTCGAGAAGCACAACAAACTGCTGAAGGAGCTACTTCCCTGCATGATGCAGACACCTGTGATACAGGGAACATCCTTTACCCTATTTACCAAACTGTCTTTGATGTCTTCCTTAGCTTTTTCTATTTCACAGGATTCTTTTAATAAACATACCTAACAAAAGACCTGAGAACCTGTTTTCAATATGGGAGTTATTGAGTTATTGCCTTTGAAAGTCAACAAAACACAGGTTTTGCCTTTGAATGGTTGGGTTTTGTTAGGAAGAACAAAGAACTTCTCATATCTGGCAGTTTCCCAGATAGCAGGTTGATCTGGACTGTTCATCACAGAAAATTAAAACAGCCTATTTAAAGACAAAGATGAGACAAAGATTTTGAATGCTTTTTAAAGAAGAGAGACAGCAGTTGCATATGGATGTTAACAACTTCTGCCCTTTACTACCAAGACAAGCAGCTTTGCTGTTTTTCCAGTCTAGGTAAAAGCTGCAGGTATTTGGCCAATATGTCCCCAAACCATCCATTCTCACTAATTGCTTCTTTTAACTGTCTAGAATAGAAAAGAAAAAAAAGGATATTCTCCCCCTTTGGATACTTGCATGTTCTCTGGTTACTCTCCATGACATAAAATGTCACTACTCTAAAAGCCTACACAAACCAGAGAAGGAATCCTTAAATGGTCTTACAGTCCTTAAATGTCTAACAAAGCAGTTCATGCAACAAGATAAATACTTTTATATGCTTAAACAACCCAATTATTTACCTGAAGGGCTTATCCCAGGAGTGACACAAGCATCACCACACCCATAAACTGAATGAAGAGTAACAAAGGTGTCAAAAACGACCAGACAGGCCACAAGGCAACATTGAAACTGTGAACAAAAGCAGGAAGGTTTTGGTAAGTTCAATTGTCATATTATGGAAATATCATCCACACAAAGAAAACATGGCACAAGAGGAAATAAAATTTAAGTTACATAACCTAGAAAAGTACTTGTTGCTTTATGAAAACTGAAATACCCCAACACTGCTTATTAAATCGGTAGATTACTGTTTATTTAATGACAAATCATCCTAGAACTTCAGCAGCTGCTGCAGGTTTTACACTGAGCAAGTCCAGTCAGTCTCATCAAGGGTAAGGATACCTTTTACTTCCAGAACCTCTGCATCTGAAGCCCTCTGAAAATGAACTACTCTTTGATTTTCCCATAGGCATACATGGCAGCTGAGCAAAGCCTTAATTTGAACTTCCAGCCAGCCAGATTTCAGTTAAGAGAAAGGGGGAAACCCACTTATCTTACAGCAGGATTTCAAAGAGTATAGATTTGATTCATTCTAAACCATAAGGAACATTTATCTTCTTCACTCTTCCCTTTTTCCCACCATTGTAGCAAATACTGAGTGACATTCAGCTACAACAGCTAAACAAGAGGAAAGCAGCTTTCATGCAGAGAATAAATAAACATACTGGCACACATATATAATTTTTTCATTCACATGCACATTAGCTCAATTCTGACTCCTGTAATCTCATAAATAAAGTATCTCTTACTAAAAGTATCATTCTCAGACAAGATGTAAACACGAAGCTCAAATAACAATGGTTAGAGGTCTAACATTTCGTATATGTTTATAGATTCTTTGATAATGACAAACTCTGACAGAAACTGATCAGACAACATTTTTTCTCAGGGAAAGAACACACTTTTCTATCAGTTTGTAAACAGCACAAAGAGTTGCCAGAGATGAGAAATTTACACCAGCAAAGGTAAGGACTTCAGTTTTTCCATAAATTTTCAAGGCAGAAAAGATCCAGTACATCTACAAGTGCATTTGATGTACAGTTTCAACTGTTGCAACTCTTGCTTTATGGATGAAAGTGGAAGAAATTATGCTCTGTAGAACTGGTATTGCCACCAATGCACATAGCAGAATGACAGAAATGATCCTTCTTACAGAACAAGCCCATTAACACACAGATTTGCACAGATGTAACAGAAGTTCCTACACAGTGCTGGAACTTACCAAATTGCTGCTGCTATAAAGGTAGCTGTTGTGATAGGTATCAGTGCTGGATACTGTGCATCATAGTCCTCAATTCCACAGTACCACTCCAGATACAGTATGCAGTAAAAGGCAACAGATAAACACACAGCTAATAAACAAGTGCCGCAGGCAAGCCACCAACTGCAGGAAAAAAAGCAAATTAAACCACGTTAGGCACAGTCACATCACAGTTTGCACATTAATCTTTGCTCCAGTCTAGAAACAGAACAGAAAATAGCTGTTAATTACACAGATTATGGCCTAGACTTCCTGCAGTTTTTGTCTGAAATTATTACAAAACACTTTTTGTCCTTCAAAGCTGTCTAATACACTGAGTTTAATTTTGCAATGCAACTTTCGTTTATTTTTCCTCCAAATATTATGGAAATGCGATGCAACAGATCTTGTCAGGGATCTACTATACAACCACACCAAAAATACATTATCAGTAAGGAAATAAAATAGTTCCAATGCAACTGTGCTTCTCACTATAAATCAGTGATTTTTGTGCAACAGGAATGTGAGTACACTTGCAGTTTGTGAACTTTCAGATTTAACAGACAAGAATGAGGAAGATTTTTCTTTACAGGTGCTGAAGAAAACCACAGAGAAATCTAGGATTTCAAACTGAGAATCAAGAAAACACAAGGCATGTGATTACTCAGGAAGACACTTTTGAGCCTCTTTGAGGACATACTTCAAGACTAGGATGGGAAAGAAAACTTGGGAGGAAGGTGCACTTAAATAAAACCTTATACTTATCCGAGTGTGTATGTAACAAATAAAATTTTTAACAAGTGAATTCCTGCTACCATAGTTTGATTACTGAATTACAAAGACTAATCAAGGATCTTCCTACCCAGGTAACATTTGCTCTGGAATGGTACAGCAAATAATCACATGCTATTTTGGTACCTTGGTACTACCAGTTGTGAATTCTGCATTAAGAGAGGAGTTGCCATAGTCTATCTCCACAAGCAGTGCAGGAAGACAGGGCTCTGACACCCAAAATTTTGCTTGCAACCTGGAGTCACTAGTTTGTTTGCACAGACAACTGGATGAAGGATGTGTCTAGCTTGGAAGTGCAGCTCCAGAGAACCTCACAAGACAAAGCCAGGGCCTGTACAGCTCCCTCATGCTGGTACAATAATGGCAACGGCAATGAGAGTTTTAAAAGCACTTGTAACTGAAACTATCTAAAAATATTTCATGCCCATTAATCCCCTTGAAAGTAATTGAATAGAAAAGAATCAGAATAGAATAGAAATGACTTCATAGAAGTCATTTCTCTAATCTTTCGCTGACCTATTCAAAGAAGTCCAGAGAACTTCTAGAGAAAATGAACTTCAGCTTGACATTCCAAGATTAATTTTAGGGTATTTTTAAATTAAAATAAAATCAAAACCCCAACATTTTCAACAGTACAGGCAGCTATTTCTCATACTTAAGTGAAAACTTGAAAGCACAACATTAAAATGCTACCAGAACAAATTTTGTATGTATACAGAAAAAAAAAGACAGCAAAATTTTAAGCATTGTGTTTACTTTAAAAATTAATAATATCAATTTAGGTGTCACCTGGTTCACCCTACCTGCTCAAGCAAGGTCAGCTGCTGCCATAGCAAAATTTTAAGCATTGTATTTACTTTGAAAATATCAACTTAGGTGGTCACCTGGTTCACCCTCCCTGCTCAAGCAAGGTCAGCTGCTGCCAGTTGCCCAGGACCATGTCCAGATGACTTTTGAGCAACTCCAAGGATGGGGACTCCACAATTTACCTGGGCAACCTGTACTAGTGCTGTCACCCTCACAGCAAAGTGTTTTCTAATGTTCAGAGGGAACCTCCTGCACTTCAGTTTGTGCCCATTGCCTCTTGTCCTGTCCCTGGGCATCACTGGCAAGAGCCTGGCTCTGTCTTAGCACCCTCCCTTCAGGGATTTACATGCATTGACAAGACGCCTCTGAGCCTTCTCCAAGCTGAACAGCCTCAGCTCCATTTCTACTGTAGATCTTATTTACCCAATATTTAAAACACAGTGTTCATATGTAACAAACTGAACATGATTCTAAGCTGACAACATCACTTTCTTTGTAAGAAAAGATACTTTACCTATCTGCTTGCACCGTTTCTTTAACAGTTTTAAAAAAATCAAAGTAGTATGTCACAGCAATGGAGGCCAAAATCCAGAAAGCAGAATGAATATTCAGTCTGGTAAGAGGCTTCATCTTCTTCTCTTCAGCTGTAGAGTCCCCTGCAAATAAGAACACAATTATAGCAGTAAAGCCAGTCATCAAACAGGATTTGGTTATAGTGACATAAAACCTGATGCTTTGTCTTTTTAATTCATTTATCTTCAGAGGTTATTATACTCATTATAATACACTTTGTACTGCAAATAGTCTAAAAAGCTCTGAACATTTCCTGAAATAAAACACACTAAGCAAGGTACCCTTTGATAAAAGGATAAAGCAGTAACAATCAGCACATGCCATGTCTATGTATCCTTAGAGGAAACAGCTGACTAGATTTTTTAAGGGTTGTTTAATCAATTAAAAACCTCCTGGTGTTATTAAAGCATTTTTATTAATCTAGCATATAGAATGCCAGGTCGGTATTTCCAATGACTATTTTATTTGTACACTTTTTATTCCTTTTAGTGTTTGCAAACAGCTTTAAGGCATAAATAATTCTCTTGTTCTCGACTGAGATTAATTCACAAGAGATTTTCAGCTCCAGTTTCAGGAGCTAGATGATTCACGCTGCACACCCCAAGGAAACTACAACTAGCATTATGTGAAGAAATACCTTTTCTTTTTCCCCTCATCACCAAATGTAATTTATTATATATATTATTTTGGAGAGAGCGAGACGACAGAGCGAGCAGATTAGAAAGCCTGGGTTTGTGCACAGTAAGCAGGCAGCACACTAGGGGTTATTACAGACTGTCAGGTGTCAGAGCTGCTGTTGATGTCTCACACCGCGAACTTTGTCACCAGGAATTCCCTGCCGGTGACTGCTTCCAGCAGCCTCACCTATGCCAACCACTCCACCTGCATCGCCGCCAGCCGAGCCTGGCGACAGCTCTGCCGCAGTTTGCAGGCAGTTTTATTTTTCATCTCCTAGATCCAACTCGCGGCTGGCCCTGCAGCGCCGAAGCATTTCACCCCCATCCAGCGAAGCCCTTTCTTCCCCCGCTCGCAGTCACAGCCCGCAGAGCCCGCGGAGCCCCC